GCAGATTGATACCAGCTCGTCAAGGGTTTCCAGTTGGAAAGGGGGGTGAGAGCCCACTGCTCAAGACATCACCTGCCAGCATCCCTGAATCCCCAGCAGCAGAAAGGGGGTGGGAGCCTTTTCAAAGGCTGTCTTCCAGTCACGGCGTGTCACCTAAAGAATTGGATAAGCTGGCTAGAAACATTCCCACTTTCACTCCAAACCCTGCAGGGGGCCACGATGTGCACGCCTACTTAAAAGACATTGACTTTCACTTGCAAACTGTTGCCAATGTTACCACACGAGACAGACTCTATCTGCTCCGAATCACCGCCAGCCGTGAGGTGAGGAGCTTTCTAGACCGGCAGCCAGAAACGGTCGAAGGGGATTACCAGCAAATGCAGCAGGCTCTGATTAAGGAGTTCTCTGACCCAGAGTCATAGCAAGGACTGATTACTGCCATGGACCTTAAACAGGGCAGACAGGAAACCACACAGGCTTACTACAACAGACTCAGACAGGCCTACTTCAGAGCACGGAACGAGCCAGGAATGGAACAGGATTTCAACTTCAAAATTCTGTTCCTCCGGAACCTGCACCCAACAGTGAGCCACCACTTGGGGGTTCTGGCTTGCCCACAGACTATGTCCACCCAACAGCTGCGAGATTTGGCCCATAAGGCCTATGTTAAACAAAAGACTGCTTCTGAAAAGACAGGAAAAAACCCCACAATCTATCCTGTCACTAATCAGAGTTCTGAACTTGCTCTAGAGGGCGCCGAGCCAAGCCACACTGACAAACCTGTCAACACAATGTCAAGGTCCTTCCCAACCAGCAGAGAGCAGCATGGCCATGGTGGTGCCCATCCTAAGCACCAGTATGAGTGCCCCAAGAGATCCTGGGACAGGTCACAACTACCCCTCAACCGAAGGGGTGGAGCCACATGGAAAGCCAAGAGACGGCCCGAGGGGAACCGACACTCACAGACACAAGCACCGAGCTCGGACTGCCAGCATCAGAACCCCTCTCAACAGGCCCTGGACAAGCCCAAATATAAACCATCCACAGAACAGAACCAGAAAGCTACATCTGAATCAGCAGAGATCATGAGACTTTTAAAGGAACTCCTCCAAGAAAAGCACCATAAGGGAGAGAAAAGGGATGAGTCAGATCAGTTATGACTAAGCATTAACTCTTACCCCAACGCCCACTCAGAGTCCCCTCAAAATGAACTTCCCAACCAGATCACTGCTAATCCACTGTTAACCACAGAACCAGATATCCCATCACCAAGTGGTGACATCACTCAACCACCTCAGCTGACTGCGGAACCACCAGAACCAGCCAACATCCCGCAACACACCTCCAGCCAGGACCGCAAAGTACCAGAAAGCGCGGTTTTGGTGGTCTGCCTCCCTGACGAGCCACACAAGACCAGCTCTGACGGCTTGCCAGTCACCACACAAGCCCCAGTGCCGAGACTCCTAGGGAACCTAATCGAAAGGGGGGGTGGCCAAAAAACTCTGGCCATCACATTAGAAAATGGGGTGAGACTGGAGGCCCTGGTGGACACTGGAGCTGACATCACTTTGATGTCAAGCCAACTTTTTGACAGACTTCAAAGTGAAGCCAAGAGACAGAATCGAATTCTTAACTATCAGAGGTGTGTGCTGAATGTGCAATCCTACAGCCAAAATGAGGTCCAACTTGAACAGGCAGCTTCAATTCACCTGACCATCAGCCCTATGAACTTTGTGCACCCTGTGTACATTTCTCCATTGGACACATATCCTCTCCTCATTGGCAAAGACCTGCTAGATCGCTTTGAGCCATTGCTAGATTTTAAACAACTGAAATTCTGGGCTCAATTGCGAGAACCTCTGCCTCCTCAATCACCAAGACCACCCCAGACAGACTGTCAGGTCACAAAGGTCACAGGAAATCTCGCTGCCAGCCGCAGGAACGTCTAGGCCCAAGAGCAAGGTTCAAAGTCGCTGCTCTGCACTTTCCAGTTAGCCAAATACTCTGACACATATGGCCCCCAGGTTAAGGGGGGCTTACAACTGAATGATGTCACAACAACAGACCCCATACTAGCACTGTGGGCAGACAATTCAGCCATCAGCCTCTCACAGTTCAATGCTCTCAAACAGCACACAACGAACATTCCTTTTGCTAACAAGCACACACGATTCCCCTTGAATCCCTGTCCATCAGCTATGGTGACTGCCAAGGGCACCTGTGCC